ACCTTGAATTGGACCCGGAAGCAAACTGGCACCCAATGCAGCTCCTGCAGCAAAAGTGTTATATGTGTCATCCTAGGGGCACCCAAGGTTGCTTGCGCAGCCACATTTTGAACCAACTGTAGCCTCCAGATACTCTTCAAGGGTAGCCCCATGTAGAGCACATTGCAGTAGTCTAGCCGAGAGATGACCAGGGCATGAGTGACTGACCAGAAAGCCTCCCAATCCAGGATGGGGCGTAACTGGTGCATCACACGAAGGTGGGCAAAGGCCCTCCTGGCCACGACTGAAGATTAAGCATTTACGAATCTTAATAGTGATAATGTAACAGGATAACAACCTATTCTGAATTAGCATTTTGGAGTTGAAAACTTCATTCATGTTACATTTTTATGATCCTCTGTGTTGTGCTGCAATCAAGGCTACTCTGATACTTCAGAATAGGACTTGTGGTTTGAGGAATGCCTATAATCCTTGAAAGCCTTAGATCAATGCTTTGGAGCTGCTGGTTATAATTTTAATAGGATGGAAGGAAAGGTTATTAAATATATGGGGAGTAATCATATTAGGGATACTCAATTAAACTGTAATTAACTTGAATTACATTTACTTTGGGTCTCACCCACTTTTTGGAATGCATTTCCTGGCATATCACTCATTATGTATAGGCTTGAACCAAAACACAATTGTACACGCCTGATATAATTTCTGTTCTAAAATAGTCTTTTAAAGTTAGATTTAGCTTCTTTTTATCTTGAGCCAAAACTCCTACCTGAGACTCAGTACAGAAATGCAAAAGAAGTCAGATTTGAGATAATTCTTCCCTGCTGCTTGCAGCATTTTGGGGGTTTGGGAGCAGAAGTTCTCCTGTTTCCTTCACAGTGGACTTATAGAGAACTAGCCAAGGCATATTGTATATTAGTAAGCTGATAAAAACTACTGTGATATTATGAGCAAACATATGGCTACTTAGTAATATCATAGTTAAGCATCAAGAAGAATGTGATGTGTAAGATAATGTAATAGGCATCTAACATTGCCATTGTTTAAAACAACCTTTTCCATGTTGGGGGGCCATTGAAACACTGACTGAGAACTATGAATCTTGTAGCTCAATACATCTGGAGAAGACCAGATAAGAGAAGGTTGATTTCAGAGTGATTTAACTGCACAATATTCAGAGGAATGCCAGCTATGGAGGCCATAACTTCCGTTAGCTCAAGGCATGCATCAGGCTTTGTGTAGCAAAAGGGACTCTCCACAATTATTGTTTTGGAAAGTTAGGACTACAGCACGCATCTGGGAAGTCAAGAGGACTCGAGCTCAACTTCTCAGGCTTCTAAGCTGTGGAATGGGTGCCTTAGGCCTCTACATTTTGCCCTTTAAACTCCTGCAAATTAACTATTTTTAAAAGGCTGAAATTTTTGGTCTTGCCCATTCTGGGAGAGTCTGGAAATTTCAAGCCATACTTCTTACACTCCTCTTTTAAATCTTGGGCTGTATTTTTTGGAAATAATGTTGCAATAGAAATGTTTAGATTTGCACTGAAAGCATGTTGCCCTCTTTTGTGGGAAGACTAGATAAGTGTTTAAGAAACCTATCTCTAAAGCCAGGGTGGAGAGAAACAATGCAGTAAAATTAGAATAATTAACTTATTTTACATTCTTTTAAAAAAAAAATATGAATGTGGGATGGAGAAAAATGAACAATTTGAAAAAGAGTGAATGGAATGCTATTGAAAAGATTTTGAAAAAGCAAATAATCTCTCGGGTTTATCTAAACTACATTGCAAGTAGTTTAAATGCTTTTGACTATCGAAACAAGTGTATAGATTAGAGGCCTAGAGATTAGATAATTGAGAAAACAGACATAACAGTAATTAGATAGGTGCTGCCTGGTACTCTAAGCAATAACTGAAATGCTGTCACTGAAAGGGCCCCAAAGAGATAAAACAGTCCAGGAAAGAAGTTTTTAAAGCCAAAGTCTGATGTTTGTTGAAATATATTGCCAGTCTTACCCAAAAAATGCATATGTGTGTTGAATTTCTTAAGTAAAAGTGTTTGGGTGTGTTGAATTTTTTTTTTTTTTTTTTTTGGCTACAGGGAAAAAGGAAGGTGAACAGGATGGCAGGATGGCATTTTGCCTGGAGGGCCGGTAATTTAAAAGCTCCCAAGCAGCCCCTTTCTTCCATGCCCCCCCCAAAAGGAAATGTGATGGGTTGCCGATCGTAAGACTGACTTTCTTGACACACTCCCTTGTCTGTCCAGCTGCAGGATCTTTGCCCTCTCTCTTCAGCCATGCTTTGGGAAGAAAGAAAGGAAGATGCCTTCAGTCTTCTTGCTTGAAGCCAGCAGTGCAGAAATGCATAAACCTTGTGTCAGTCCTAGAAAAGAAAGGATAGCTGTTTAACCGTACAATCTTTCCTGTAGAGAAACTTCCCTATTAAACCAACAAAGCCAAATCTCTAGACAAAACAGGCAAATTCAGGAGAACCAAGGAAGGCCACAATCACATTCAGTACAGTCAGCTAAGCTAAACCAATTAACTTCTTGAATAAGCTCTTGGGTTCCGGCACATGTTTGGGGTTGGAGAATGGTTAGAGTGAGATTATCTGAGCTTCTCCTTCCTTCCCTATTTATAAACTATAGAGGATATTGGAAAGGCCCCTTCTTTGGGAATGTTGCATGGACCAGTCAAGCATGTGGACTTCCATTCCCATGGCTGGCTGGGGAATTCTGGGAGTGGGAGTCCACACATCTTAAAGTTCCCAAGGTTGAGAAACACTGCTTTAGGGAGTACTGTTGGGCCAAAAAATAGATGCTGTCATACTGTCATCTGGACTTCCTCGTGATGACATTTCAGAATGAAGGCAATTTCTTTTCCCCCTATTTATGGTGAAGCAAGGAGGTTGATTCACAGGAAAACCGAAGGAATTTTTAAAATTCTAATAAAATTTTATTATCCTCAGTGACTACTATGTCCAATGTAGCAAACAGTGTTGTGCCCATGTACAAGAACATTACCATAAAGTTTATCACTACATGATCATTTTTCATCCTGTACTGCCGTGGAAGGCATGGAGTTATCTATATTCAGAAACAGGCTGACCCTTGGAAATTAGGCTATCCACGTCTTCTATGAATCTATATGAGTTTCCCAGAGAATTTTAGTTATGGGGCAGCTGTATAAATACATTAAATAGTCACACCATTTGTGATCTTTTAATCCTGTAATGATTCCAGGATTTTTAATAACTGCACGATCATTAGAAGCTCAGTAGGTCAAGCATTTCCTGGCGTGGAAATGCAATGATTGGGAGACTTGTTCCAGTTGAATATTGTTCTGTTGCACAGCAGTGGAAAAACACAAATCACAGCTGGAGATGCCAGGGTTTACTGAGGACATGGCTGTGGTATTATCCCCCATTAGACTGGATCTTAAATACTGATTCCCTCTCCATCTTTTGTTGATGGCTGAGGAAGATCACTATTACAAGTTATGGGATGTTGTGTCTGACAAATGTTCATATGGAAAAGGAAGAAAATAATGTTTAAAATGAAATCTGGATAATGGGTAAGGTTGATTTTAGCCTAACCTGTCCCAGTCAAATTTGGTATTTGCTTCAATTAGACACAGATTTTTCCCTTCAGGTATAGTGTGCCAGATGTTTTATTTTATCTTTTTCTGTGCTTTTATTCATTTGGTTTAAACAAGACATATTGGATCCACGTGCAGATAGTTCATTTTATTAAACCTCACTCTTTTCTTATAGAAGCTACTTTGAACAAAAATTTAAAAAATATTTTGAGAATAAAAACTAATTGGAAATTGAAAAAAGGCTACAGCAAAAGCATCTTGGTAAACCCTCATAGAAATATTATGAAAATACTTCCTGCTACTTGTCTGCTTGCACTTTAGGTTGGAACTCAGATCCAGGGAAACAAATTGCAGATGCTTTTAGAATCACTTTTCTGGCAAGTTGTTTTCAAAATATCTGATAAAATGGCAATATAGTTTTACTGTGTGCCCCCATCAGATAAAAGTTATATTGGCCCCTTTTAGTACTAGTCCTGTTCTTGAAAGAACCTGCACTAAAATATATTAGTAGCAAAATAAATACAACTATTTCTAAAGTAATGAAATTATAAATGGTAAATACAGTGAATTATCTGTCTTCCTTTGCAGATACCAGGCATTGGTTTACTTTGCCTCTGTGTTCCAATCTATTTCTTGTGGCATCCATTACTTGGCCTCTGTCTTCTTGGCTGTTACACCAAAGTTTGTATGTAGCGTTGCTGGAAATGTGAGTCGTGTCCTTGTTTACAATTCATCTCGTTCAAAAGTAGAGGATGCCTGGAGTCTCTGGACATCAACACAAAGCTACATCTTGGTCCAGCTGGAAAATGGAGACATTTGGGAGCTTAATCAATGCAGCAGGTCTAAACGAGAAAATGCTTCAAGATTTACTTATGAATATAGTGGCAACAAGACTGATTTTCTGTGTACTGATGGATATATCTATGACCACACCAACTGGCAGAGCACCATTGTAACTGAGTGGGATTTGGTCTGTCAGCAGGAATGGCTTGCAAAATTAACCCAGCCAACATTTATGCTGGGAGTCCTTTTTGGAGCTGTGATCTTTGGAGATCTTGCAGACAGGTACAGTATGGAGTTTGCCTAAAATAACTGGAGGATTTGAGGCTTAATATCTCCTGGCTCCCCAGAGTTGAGCTGATTTACCTTGGGAAGATGTCTGCTTTTGTGCTTCCCAGAGCATACTGGAGTGATAGTTGAGTTAACCTAATGCAATCACTCAGTACAGAACCTTCCTAATGCAGCACTTTCTCTGTTGCAGACATATTTTGTCTTCACTGACTCTTGGCCTTCAGCTCCTAAGGAATTTTGCTGCTCATCTTTACACCCCACATTTGAGCTAGTCTAAAGTCTGATATCTAGCAAGTAAAGAAAACTTTCATATGTGGTGTTGCACATACCTAGGGTTTTGTTTAAACCATGACCATTTAACACTAATTGTGCAATATCAGTATTATTTGCCATTGGGCTAGTTGATTCCTGGTGTGTAAATAAATGTAGATAATGGAATTAGGTTTCAATCAGATGTGAGTTCTGTTCAAAGCTGCATGAATTAATTCTTTTTACCAGTTCTGTGTCCTAACTGAATTGGGCCTTACTTCCAACTGTATCTGTCTCTGCTGTCAGTAGGATTTCTTCCCTGCTGACAAATCCTTTTGCCAGCTCACAACATCCAGTCATTATAAGAAAAACAATAAGATATTGCTTATAGATGCTAGATCTCAACAGGAACAAGAGGCTGCCTAACCTATTCACTTCCTTTTTTTTGGTATAATTTTATTAAAGATTTTTTAAAAAGAAGATAAAAACTAATATAAACTAATATAAAGTGAGAAAAAGAAAAGAAGAAAGAAATCAAAGGGAAAGCTAAAAGTTCAAGAAAGAAAAAAAGTATTAGAAAAATAGAAAAGAAAAAAGATACAAAGAAGTAGTTTCTGATTTTCTTTACAGCAGTTGTAAGTACAATTATAAATTTACTTCTTACTCTATGGTTACAATATAACTCTCTTCTCTCTATAATCTATCCTGTCTAATCACCAAAACCATAAATCATAAGTTTATTTTTTTTTCTGTTTTATGCAAAAAGTCCATAAGTGGTTTCCAGTTAGCAATAAACATAGATATTGTCTTTTCTCTGATCAAAGAAGTCAATTTGGCCAACTCAGGAAGTTCTATCATCTTCACCAATCATTCCTCTATGGTGGGTAGTGCCAAATCTTGCCATCTTTGTGCAAACAATCTTGCTGCAGTTATTGTGTACAAAAATAAAGTTCCATGACTTTTTCTCAACTGCCTAATCCAGTGTTTCTCAACCTTGGCAACTTTAAGATGTCTGGACTTCAATTTCCAGAATTCTCCCAGCCAGCATGCTGGCTGGGGGAATTCTGGGAATTAAAGTCCAGAGATCTTAAAGTTGCCAAGGTTGAGAAACATTGGCCTAACCTATTCACTTCCCATTATGGGTTTCAGTTGCTCAAGCAAGTGAAGCAAGCTATATACTGCAGCAGAAAGCACAGAGCAGCATGAACTTAATAAATAAATAAATATGGATTCAATTTCTGATCCTTTGTGGAAAAAGTAAACACTTTTGTGGCTGCTATTCCGCTTTGTTTTACTTGCATGTGGTTTGAAGTATGGAGCTCCCGTGCCCTTAGGGACCACTTTCCCTCCTGTCCTCCTAAGGCACATGGACTTTGAGATATTCCAAGTCAAGGGTTACAAAGGTTTAAATAGAAGGCAGGAAACCCTAGCTGGCTAGCCAGATGGCTGGGATGCTGTCGAAGATGGCTGCTACTGCGTGTGATCTAGTGTCCCGGTCAAGTTGACTTGTTACCTGGGACACCCCAGGTTGTCATGCCATGCAAATAAGACCAGGGGTCTGCTGCTGTTGCTGCTGCTGCTATCTTTCTTAGAGTTCCCTAACAGAACAGTGGATATTGATTTTTTTTTTAATGAAAAATGTTCAAAAATGTAGATGGCTGAAAGAGTTAATGGACTCTTACTTTTTCTCTGCTCACAGCCTACCAATTCTTGATTTTGATTCCATTGGGTGAAAGTTCATAAACCTTCCTGACATGGGAATGAAAGAATTACACCACCTCTATGGTCTGATGTAACTGTTTTCCCACTATAAAAATTGGCTGCCAGGGCAGCACATACCTCTACGTGGATGGTGCCTGCTGTAAGTTTTAGAGAAACATCTCAGGGAAAAACAAAGTACAAAAGCCTTTCAGGGGTATCCAAGGACAAGAGGAAAATGTGCAGAACCATGAACTTGTGGGCTATAGTGCTCTGCTGAGTGTATAGTAACATCCTGCAAAGCAATCTTTTGACAGCATGTCAAAATGAGGTCCATCATCATCATTTGATGTCTTTGTGACTTTGTGGGAATTGGGAGGGTGTCTTTGTGACTTCAGTCCAGCCTCTACTCAAATTGGCACTCATGGAGCATAATATCAAACATGTATTCAGGATAGTAATATAAACTTATTGTACCTTTCCCAGAGTCTCTAGAGTGGGCTAGGCAACTTGTGGCTCTCCATATGCAGCTGAAGCACCATTCTCAGCACCCTTAGGAAGCATGGACAACAGCGAGACATGCTGGGAGATGTAGTTCAGCGATACCTGGAGTGCCCCAGGTTATCTCCTGCAAATGTAGAAGTATGCACCATTTGTGCTTTTTATAGAAAGGATTCTACAAGTAGAAGCTGTTGCTGGGTTGGAATAAAAGTTTCAATTGTCAAGAAAAAAGTGTAAGCTTTGTAGAGAACTCTTAACACTGAACATGGATCTTCTGCATGTATTTATGTTAACTCTGATGGGAAAAGTAATACCAGCTACTTTAAAAGAACATTATTATTATTACAGAATGATTATATCTTCTGGTATTTGTTAGTACAAGACCAGATAACACATTTGTTATTTATTTTAATTTGTTAGATTTATATTGCACCTTCCCTCCAATAGCCCAAGGCACTTTTTCCTCCAGTTTTTTTCCACAACAAACCTGTGGGAGAAGTTGAGCTGAGAGAGGGACTGGCCTCAAGTCACCCAGGGAGCTTCTGGGGTAGAGATAAGCCTGAACTTGAGTCTCCTGGTTGTAGTCCAATATCATAACCAAGGAATGGCATCTACATTCCTTGATGAAATAGGTGTATAATTAGCAGATGTTTGAGATTCTACTTGGTTAGAAATTACAGTAATAAAAATTCCATTAAGATCAATTGGTGAAGTACCAGGTGGAGGTTGCACTAAAAATTTAAAAGATTGCAATCCAAATATTGCACACAATTTACATCACTGTATAGTACAGTACAGTACAATATAGTATAGTATAGTATAATATAGTATACTTTATATCATTCTGTAGTAACAATGAACTATTTTTAGTTCATTGTTACTACAGAATGATATAAAATATACTATTTTTATAGTTAGTATACTTTATAATACTTTATAATACTTTATAATGATATAAAGTATACTAACTATTTTTAGTTCATTGTTATTCAGTCGTTAAGTCGTGCCCGACTCTTCATGACCCCATGAACCATATTGCGCCAGGCCTTCCAGTCCTTCACTGCCTCCCTGAGTTTGCTCAGTTTCATGCTCATTGCTTCAGTGATGCTATCTAAC